GTATTATATTTCCCCAGTAATAGACTTGACTCACAAATTTATAATCACACAGTTTTGAACTACTTAACATAAAATTTTAATAAAAGCTACAGCATTTGTAAAGCATGTCAGCTTGAAAATAAAGCTAGGTATTTCAATAACACCCAGGTGCCCTATTTAGCATTTTTTGAATTGAACGTTTATTTCAAAATTTCTTCCCAGAGTGAAATTGCTTTTAGAGAAAATCATTAATAAGGAAATCAAAATGAAATATTTAAATTGCATTGAATAAAGTAAGTTGGCCCAAAGCATTATGGGGAAAATTTCATCATTTTGTGAGTAAAAAATCTGCTTTTGCTAGTTTTTATTCCTCTGCAGTATAAAAAAGATTTTTTTCTATTTCATTTTCATAACAGAATTTCCAAGAGAGATTTTCAGCCTTTAATCTAAAATCTCATCTTTTTTGCCTTTTGCTATACTACCATATTTTATATAAAACACAATGTGCTGAATAGGTTTCCCTCAGAGGTAATGCTAGTCTCATCCAAAACTCACAAAACACTCATTCTTTTTTAAGATTGATGTGACCATGTTGGGAATCTTGGTTATTTGGGAGCGAGAGACGAGGAGGAATTGAAAGAAGCAAGTTCATTAACTAAAATAGGAAGGGCAAACATCAATCTAAACTAAACACAGAATTTTTATTTTTCATTGCACCAGAAACAGAACAAACAACACAGAAATATTTTGTTTTCATTTTTACCTATGCAAAATCAGCTGTATTCATTTGGACACTTCTACATAAAAATTGAAAGACTGAGGCCCTTTTTTTTTTTTCCAAAATTGCTAGAAGACACATTTTCATAATTAACTAAATATTTTAGATATTCTACACCTATGTACGACAAAAACAATTTAAATTTCCTCTTTTACTTGAAGCTGCAGAAATGTCCACCTCCCAGGAGAAGTTCTACAAATGAGAATGTAAATTTTTCTAGGAAAGTGCTGGTAACAACATTGATGCTTAGGAGACTGTTCCAGGAGAAGGTGAAAACAGTTAGGACACCCCTCTGTGGCTTAAAACATGGAAAAAAAGTCTCTTGTGGGTTCATGAAAGTATAACCCTTCCTCCTCCACTGACACTGCCCAATATATAACCCCCTCTTCTCCACACAGTGGCCAAGACTTTTCAGCACATAAGAACTATAATTTTCTTTTCAGAGAATTTACTGTCAAAGTTAAAAGAGAGATAAAAGGAGCAAGTCCTGTGTCGTGCAAGTTGATGAGTGAACTTTCTCCGTTGCAAGTTTATTTTGGGCATAGACACTCCCACTCTGGCAATTAAGAACTCCACATCTTCAGTCTGATGTGTTCAATATTCAGCATGAAAACTCTAATCTTGATATCCCCTCTGGTAGCATGATATAGTGGTACAAAATTACTGCAATGTCTATGAACTGTACTGGATTTGATTCTTCTAGAATGTACTCCCTGATTGAACTATAAATGGAGAGCAGCTAAGAGAGATTAATTAACTCTTCATTTCCTAACAAGGAAGATGTGTGATGTGAAGCTAAACATTTTCTGTAGAGAAATACATGCCAGGTGTTATTCTTCATCTTCTAAAAGGCAAATATAAATATATGCATGTCTTCCTAGGAAGCAGTTTTCAAATAAAAAACAGGTCAAAAATATATAGATTTTAACCATAGATCAGTTCTGAAAATTCATTACAGATTTCTACATGCAAGGCCAATAATATATGTAGCAAAATACAGAAATAATCTGTGACTAGAAGTATTATGGGAAACATGAAGCCTATAACTACCAGGCAAGAATTGGTTTATATTACAGGTGAATAAACGCTCTCACTTCTTTTCCATTATGTTCTGAAACCTTGCCTTCAATTCCGTTCACTCTGTAATTTTATTTTTTAATAATTTTGAATTAAAACATTTTAAATATCAGGGTCTGCTTTCACATGAAACAGATTGCTCTTCAGCATCTTCATAAACAACCTGGACAGAAGACTAAAGGGATACTAAGTAAGTTTGCAGATAATACAGAGCTGGGAGCAGCTGTTGACTCCCTGGAAGGCAGAGAAGCCCTGATGGGAGAAAGACAAATTTAGACAAATTAGAGAGCTGGGAAACCAGCAGTTGCATTAAATTTAACAGTGGAAAGTGCTGAATTCTGCCCAGGGGATGGGACAACCCTGGATGTATGGAGAGACTGGGGAATGAGAGGTTGGAGAGCAAGCCTGGGGGCCCTGGTCAATGCCAAGCTGAACAGAGCCAGCAGTGCCCTGGCAGCCAGGAGGGCCAACCCTGTCCTGGGAGCATCAGGCACAGCATGGCCAGCTGGGCAAGGGAGGGGATGGGGAATTGGGATGGCCTCACCTCAAGTCATGTGAACAGTTTTGGGTGCCACAATAGAAAAAAGTCTTAAAGCTATTGGAGAGCATCCAAAGGACGGCCACAAGAATGGAGAAAGAGAAGTCGTAAGAGGAGCAAATGAGGTCACTTGGCTCACACAGCCTGGAGGAGAATGAGTGGAGACCTCATTGCAGGTCTACAGGTTCTTCATGAAGGGAAGTAAAGGGACAGGTACTGATCTCATGTTTATGGTGACCAGGGACAGGACCCAAGGGAATGGCCTGAAATGGTGTCAGGCATGGTTTAGGTTGCGTATAAGAAAAAAAGTTCTTTATCTAGAGGGTGGTTGGGCACTGGCTCAGGCTCCCCAGGGAAGAGGTCACAGCACCAAGCCTGACAGAGCTCAAGAAGATCTGGCCAATGCTCTCAGGCACTTGGTGTGATATTCTGGATGTTCTATTCAGGGCTAAGGTCTGGACTTGATGACCTTTGTGGGTCCCTTCAAGTCAGAGTATTCTGTGAATCTGTGATTATTTTGTTCCTAATGTTGGATTTTCATGCAAGATCTTAAATAGGCAGTTGAACTAGATTGATCAATTTTATGTAAGAAGCAAGACATTAAACTGCATGGCCTTCACCCAAGAGCTCTGAAGCAACATAGATCTGAACTTACAGGACTTTTGTCTGCAGTCTGTAAGCTACATTATGAAAGGTTACGGTGGCAGAAGACTGACAGATTGCCAATGCACCTCCCATCTCAAAAAGGTCTCAAGAAATGATCCTAGGAAAGGCAGGAGTCCATCCCCACTTAAAAAAAATAATAAAAAAAAAAAGTTTGTTACAAGGGAAAGAGCCTGATTTCTGTAAAGGAAATATTACCTTGCTACCCACTGTGCTGATGATGTCAGCAGAAATGTGGATGTACTTGCATTTCTGAAAAGTCCTTGACATCAAAGATTATTAAAGAAATTAAACTGTGCCAGGATTGGTAGAGGGCATCTTTTATGGATTAAAAGCTGATTAAAGGATAGGAAGAAAACATCCTAACATAGACCTTTATAGACCAAATGTTCTTTAATTTTCTAGATGGAAAATAGTAGGATATTGTCCTATCAACTGGTGCTTGTGTTGCTGTTTTCCAATATAAATCATCAGTGGTCTGGAAAAGGGTGTGAACACTAAAATCTCCAACACTACAGACCATAGTAATTTTTTGGGGTTTTTTTTGTTGTTGTTGTTTTTTTTGAGCTGTGCAATTGTTGAGGACCTGAAAATGCTTCCCACAAAAAAGAGTGGCCAGAAGGGCAGCAGCTGGGCTTTAGTGGCTAAATATAAGGTAATGCATCTGGGGAATGCCAATGAAATCTAATGATTCTGCATTCAGAATGGTAGTTACAGCTCAGGAAATACATGTTGGATCATCCATAAAGAGTTCTCTGAAAGCATTGGCTCGATGTGCAACATAAGCCAAGGACAATGAATGTGAGTTCAGCACTGAATAGTTTAAATAAGGCATTTTTTTGTAACGTTAAAAAAAGTAAACTGGTATATCTACAGAAAATGAGACAACTTATTTAAAGGATAATAAGAAAAAATACTAATATTTTTGCGTTTGGGAGTATTTTCCTTTTTATTGTAGTTTGTAGATTATTTTCTCTTTTAAATTTTAGCTTTCTTTAATGTTTAGAGTTTTTCTCCTAGAAAAAGACCTGCTTCTAGCTCTCTTAAAATATATCTTCATAAATATGAGAACACGTATAAAATAATAAGTCAGCACTTTAAAGAATCCTAAAGCAAAGTAAGAACAAAAAAGTTTCTTATACCCACGAATAAAGTAGAGCCCTGAAGAATTTCAACTACATTCCCAAATTAAAAAAGTAAATAGTGAAGACTGTTCTACTGTCTTCCACACAGGGCTGCAGTAAAGAGAAGGAGATGGTAGGGAAGCTCAGAGAGATTGAGCAGAAAGCAAAATAATGGAGCAACCCTGTTTATCTTGTGGGAAAAAGCTACACGATTTGCACAGTCACACTTGGAACAGCTAGGAAGCGAATTCAGAGCACAAGTTGTATTTTATTTAGTTCTGAAATAATCATTATCTCAAAAATTTAACATCAGATTGTTATTGTAAAAGAATGAGCATAAGATATTCAAACTGAATAAATGTAAGTTTAAAAAAAAAGACTGAAAATTCATTAGAATGGTGTTTAATATTATGTAGGAGGACAACATAAAAATTAGAGAGGTAAAATACAGATGGTGGATGGTTTAAAGACATTAAAGACATAATTTTAGAGTAAATATAAATAAAAAATAATATTCTCTATTAAAATAAAAGATCTGTACAGGATTGCACACACAAAGAGAATAAAATAAAATCTATCATTAAGAAATACAGCTATTTCTTGTCAAAAGTAATTTAATTATAGAATTGTCAGATGGCAGGAAGATACTTTCTTACAGGCTTCTATTTAATTATTCAAAAATTATTTAATTTTCTAATTATTCAAAGTTAAAAGCATTGCTCAAATTAAAAAAAATATAATCTTGAAATCTCCTTTAATGTTAAGAGAATCCAAAATATTTTTTTATAAAGAGCTTCCCAACTGCCTAAACCTAATACCTTATAGTTAGACCTGTACTTACACCTTTTCCAGCAGTTGTAGAAAGAAATTGGTTATCAAAATGGCCTCTGTACAAGAGAAATGTAAATTAGCAATTGAATTTTTCAAAAGAATTTGGGGATGTTTAAGGAAATTAGAATCATCAAACTTGACTCCCATAAAGGAAAAAACATAGAAATTGGAATTGAAACAAAAAGTAGAGAAGACAAAACAGAATTAACAAAACCATGGATAATACAGTGGGAAGAGAAGGTGCGGGAAGGGAAGGTGCGGGAAGGTACAGGAAGGGAAGGGAAGGTACGGGAAGGGAAGGTACGAGAAGGTACGGGAAGGTACGGGAAGGTACGGGAAGGGAAGGTACGGGAAGGGAAGGTACGAGAAGGTACGGGAAGGTACGGGAAGGTACGGGAAGGTACGGGAAGGGAAGGGAAGGGAAGGGAAGGTACGGGAAGGGAAGGTACGGGAAGGGAAGGTACGAGAAGGTACGGGAAGGTACGGGAAGGTACGGGAAGGGAAGGTACGGGAAGGTACGGGAAGGTACGGGAAGGTACGGGAAGGTACGGGAAGGGAAGGTACGGGAAGGGAAGGTACGGGAAGGTACGGGAAGGTACGGGAAGGGAAGGTACGGGAAGGGAAGGTACGGGAAGGGAAGGTACGGGAAGGGAAGGTACGAGAAGGTACGGGAAGGTACGGGAAGGGAAGGGAAGGGAAGGGAAGGGAAGGGAAGGGAAATAATGCCCCTCAGNGAAGGTACGGGAAGGTACGGGAAGGGAAGGGAAGGGAAGGGACGGGAAGGGAAGGGAAGGGAAGGGAAGGGAAGGGAAGGGAAGGGAAGGGAAATAATGCCCCTCAGAAGCTACTGATGGTCCTGCCGATGGCAGTGATAATGTGCAAGGATGTGTATTGCTCCACAGCCATCTCTATCTCTTCAAATTTCTCTGTAGAAGAAGTTTGTGTGGTTATCACTGGGCACTTGAAATGTTTTTAATTTTCTTGACTTCTTCCTGCAGCCTTCACTAGAAGCAGGGGTTAGAGAGCTTTGTTTTGAGCCAGTACAGCTTTTCCTATGCTTGCTCGTGACTGTTCTTTCTTACTGTCTCCTGTCTCTACCAGAGAAAATTTATGATCATGGTTGGCCATAGCTCAATCCTTGCCCTCCCACATGAGTATAAACAATGTCATCTGCACTGATATCTGCAGCAGACAACCCTCAGGGGCTGTGTGCAATCTCTGCTGGTACCCCCTCAAGCAATTTCTGTTCTGTATGGCATTGTCAGCCACTGATAGCACCCAAACAGGGTCCAGAAAGTTGTCAAGTAACTGTTTGCTGCATCCAGTTTTTCTTGCCAGAAGCCATCTCTGGCATCCATGACTGAAAAGACTATTGTGTTCGCTTGAGTTGGCAATATTTCAGTGACTGTTGGCAGGGAACAGTATAAGCACTTTAGTATGCTATTGAGGTCCTTTGGATTGATGCAGATCATCAGTTTGCCTGTCTTTCTAACTGCCACCATACTGCTGATCCAGTCAATTGGCCTTGCAACTTTTCTCAGCCACCTTGTTCCATGACAGTTTTAACTTTCACCTTGAGCTCTGCTTCAAGTGGCAGCACTAGCATTTTATATATAGCTGATGCCACATCATCTTAACCTTGCAGACCTTAAAAGCACTCATTATCCAGAAACCTGATCCCTTGACCAGAGACTATCTTTTAATAGTCAGAAAAGTAATATCTCATATATGTTTCCCTCACCCTCGGTTAGCTCTGTGATGCTCTGACTTTGCAATAAACAGTCCCATGTCCCAGTAAGTTCTCCACCAGACAATAGATTTCTGCATCCGTTCTACTGCAGGAAAGACATGAGCCTAATCTTTATTTACATGTGAGAACTTCACAGGCTTAATATGATCCCACTCTAAAAAAAAAAAAATCCAAATTGTTTTATTTTTTACAAAATCTGTATAATTTACTCAGCTTCACCACAGAATCACATTCCTTTTAGTGAAAGCTTTCCTTTGCCAGTTGCTTGTCATTTCTCATATTCAGTTTCAGAACTGCATTATTTTCTTGTTACTGCCATTGCACCTACTTACTGTATATTATTCAGACCAGCTTCGTCACAGGTGCTCACTTTTCTCTTTTCAAGCACTTATGCAAATTCAATCACCAGTGTAATTTAGAATCTCTTCACTTGCATGTATGTGGTCCAAAAATTGTCTCATCCAAGTTCCAACTACACACAGGGTGACACCACCACTTGCTCTTAAGCAGGACTTTTAAACACTAGACCTCACACTTTTGTAACAAAAGAGGTCAATATCATTATCACAGTTTTATAAGGGTGCTGTGTCGGGGTGAAGTGACTTGCTCAAGGTCATCTAACAGCTTGGTGAGAGCAGAACTTAGGTCTTGCAAGTTCCAGTCTAGTGCTTTATCCAGCAAGAAACCCTGACTGTGCTGAAGTCTGAGGTCTCCCTGTCCTTGGCCTGTTCTATTAAAACGCTGCACTGGCATTCATATAAACCATTTACAAAGGGTAACATCCATTTGTTCTGCATCAAAAAGCAAGAGAGATTGACACATACATAATCTTTTCCTATGTGTGATGGATTGATCCTTGACTTAGGATCATTTCAGTTGCCTCTTTGTAGTCTCTCCATTACAACAAGAATTTCCCAGGCTTTCTATGCAAGATGATAATGGAAAGCTGTTAAACAACCATTTTCTCATTCTTCCTGAGGAAACTTTTTACTGCCAATCCAAATTTGCAACACCTGCGGTGTTGAAAATGAAGACTTAAAGGCGTTCACTCTACATTTATGTTTGTCAAACAGTGATTTAAAAACACAAAAATTCATACAGCATTTTTTAAAACACTTTCCAGAGATTTTTTTTTTTTTTTTCCCAGAATAACATCATGTCTAAGCACAGTGCATAATCCTCATATACAGGTTTACCTAGATTTTTGTGACATATTGGGATAAAAATTTCTAAGGACATTTGTGCCACATTTGTGTCCATCGATGGCTTCTTCTTCAAAGCATTTTGGGACTATGAAATAGGCCACCTTTGTAGTGAGAAACTCTAATAATACTTTGGATTTGGAATATACAGTGTTCTGAAAACAGCCTTTCATTGGTACGTGCTGCTTGTGTTTGACAAGAACTTTACTGAAATCCTGAGGAGGGGATGGTTGCTGACCTTATGGGCAGCATACAAGAATCTCAGCCTGATTCACACACTGCTTCCCTTGTTCAGGTGATTCCTGAAATAGCAAAGAGGTGTTCCTTCTGTCATTTGGACCATGTCAGTTTGCAGCATTCCCACTTACAGGCACCCTGCCTGATTTCTGGTGTTCTGTTCCCAAGCTGGGAAACTGGTTGGCCCTTGAAAGATCTAAACTCAGGCCAGAAGGAAAGAGTGCGCATCAGTGTGGTCTCATACAATAACAGCCTCAATTCACCACTCACCCTCCCTAGAGTTTAGCGAAAACTTGTTGGATTTTGTGCAAACAAATGACAAACACAGAAGATCCGCACAAACCTTTTCCTGGTGTGAGAAGAAGCAGCTCAGCTGCAAAGCGCACGGACTTCAGCAGAATTCATACCCCACCACAGACCACAGCATGCCACCTATGTACATGAACAGAAACTGATTAATGGGCTGTCACTTTATTTGTTGACTGCTGAATTATTTATACTTATAAAGTGTTTAATAATTTAGAGCTGGTATCTTAACAAATTACAGCTGAAAGTGACAAGGGGAAGGTGGCACAAGAGTCTCACTTGAGATCAATGTCCTTGTTCTCAGGGCACTTTGGAACATGATTTCTGCTGACTGTCATCAGCAAAAAAAGGAAGGGGGAAGTATGTTGATTTGATATTACGTGTTAAATAGAGAGAACTGCATATTTCAGTAATCAAAGGAAAAAAGTTGCTTTAAACCAAAAAGAACATGAAATTACTCTGAAGAAATCTACATTTCCATATGAAATGAAAATCATTGTCTTAAAAAAAAAAAGACTAAATAAAAGCTAATTACAGTGTTTGTTTTTAAAATTTTGTCTCAAAGCATTTTATCCATCTTTTCTTGCCACAAAGGATTTGGATACATATTGATTTTGACCTGCGTACCACATCTTTGCAAAAAAGCAAAGTCATCTTAATGCAAAGAGGTTATTTTTTACTGTATGAGGATGGAAACAAAATTACCATCTACTGGCTCTATGTGAGTTAAACTTAGAGAGCGCATGAGAAAGAGAGACATAAATTCAAATTTTTTAACAAAATCCAGATGCTAACCAACAGAAAGGCTGTCTGAGTCAATGCACCTGAAAACAAAATTCCTGTAAAAATCCTCTATATAGGTAAATAGCATTTCACTCCAGGATGGTTTTTCCTTCACAGACACTTCAATAGGGAAGAAAAAAAATATTAATGTAAATATCCAAAATAGTAAATTCCACTCTCTAAGAAGGAATTTCCTGGGTATTAACCTGCTCTATTTCCTTTAAATACCACGAGAATGCAGTGTCTAAAAGAATCATATTTTGGTGAAACAAATATTCTTAACAAAGGCACAAGACCCCTGTAACAGAAATTATACCATCACTGCTGCAAACAAATACATTTTTCAGGGTAACCTCTCCAGTGATGAGCACAGTTGCATCTTGTAACCCCAATTCTACAATGTCCACAATGGAAAAGCAAGCTGTGCTAACCACTGCTGAATTCCAGTAGCACTGTATATCCACATGCAAGATACTGTTCACCAGTGCAAGACTGACCTCTGCTTGTATTCCGCTTGCTTCAAGCAAGCACCATATGTCTTTCCATCACAGTAGCACAGGCACTGTGGCCTTGAACAGTGTAAATCATATCCAGCTCTACTCCCCCCCAATATGCTTAGGCAACCAGTGTTTTCTACTTTGGTGCATTCAGCTTGAATCCTATAAAAAATAATGTCACACGTGCAGTAGAAGCTTGGTTTTGTGATATTTCCCAGTATTAGCTTCTGCAACAGCAATTACTTTCTGCCTCTCTCTCTCTCTCTCTGTGATTTAATTTCTGTTTATCTCCACGGAGACCTTTATATGCACATGCTGCCAGCTGGACCAGGATCAGTAGGTGGCCATTACTGGACATTTGGGAGCAATGACTTGAATTAAGGCCAGATGAATCTTACTGTCTGTATTTTCATTCTGTCCTCAGATGGAGATGCTCACCCATAGCATTTCTTCTGCAATACAGACGTTTACAAGACTATCAGCCCAAGCAGCAGACTTCAATATGAACAAGATCTTATTCTTACTCTTGAACAATTCTACTAATTCTTCTAATGACTTCAAGGTAGAAACCTGACCAGCTACCTAAGGGACTTAGGTCATAATTATACTGTAAACTGCTCTTAAGGAAGAAATCCTAAATTTCCTATAGAGAGCAAGTGGTGAACTACATTACAGGGCCTTTCTGTTCCTCAGTGTCCACTCCACAAATCTATAAAGCTTCCTCCTTGCCTTGACAAGTGACAAATGTGGTCTGATTTTCTTTATACCACAGCAAAATTTATCAGGAAAATAAGTTATATAGCAAAATTGATATTTTGTATAGAGATCTCCCTATAGTGGTGCTATGTTTTCACTGGGGAGTGTTCATGGATGACTAAAACTGTTAATTTTTTTTTCTGGTATAGAAATGAAAAATGGATAAAGGGAGCAGAATTTTAGCATGAATAACAAATATTAGCTGAGAATGTCTTGGTTTTTTTAAAAAAAAATTGTTATCTTTGCTTGTTGATGGATACTATATCTTTTGATATTTATTTTCTGGGTTCTCTAATATGAAAATGCTCTGTTCAACTCTTCCCAGGGCACCAGAAACATATAAAAATGAACAGTAATTTTTTACGTTTTGATGTGGGGAATATAATAGTGAAAAACTAAGATCATTTGTTGAAAATGATGAAGAAAAATCAGATTGAGTTGATACTTTTCCAAACATTTTATACTCAGAGATACACTGTTTCTACTGTTTCAGAGAGTATTTTTTTCTTTGGACAAGATTTTCTACTGTTGAGTGTGGACACTCTATAAAAATGTGGGCTTTTCATGAACACATATGCTGAACATCTTTCACCATTTGACTAGGAGGCCATATTTATAATTCCTTCCATATTAAATCTAAATTATTAAAACTAGAGATGAGAATGAGCTCAGTGAAAATTATTGCTGTAAGTGTTACAAAAGTATCCAAGGCACATGCAGATGCTCCAAACAGTACAAAATGCAGCAGCACATATACCACTAATCCACTCAAGGTCTTCAGCCTGATCTTCGGGATTCCCACTGAGTAAGATCTCTACTATTTGGAGGGCAGTTTTTCTTCCCCTCCCCCACATCCTAGGATAGTAAATATGACCAGCAGGAAGCCTGGAACTGACAGTATCAATGACAGAGTGAAATCTGAAAGAGCATGGCACAGAGGTTTATTGGTCACAGGAGGTAGTCAGCTATGGCATTCCTTTCCTTCACAATTCACATGATGCCCTGACACCACTTCCTTGAAGATAGTATTCAAAAATACCCCTGAAATCTAAGCATAACAATAACATATCAATTACTTATACACTCAGGAACACGAACAGGATATTAAAAGGGAATTAGAGAAAATGCAGTCTTTCAGGTAGGTTATTGTTCTCTGGAATGCAAATTCATAAGGAATGTCTGGGATTAGTATCAGCCTAGCAGAAATGAGACCCGGTCAGGAGATGGTACAGAAAGCATCCCAGACTGATTTCTCCCTGTTTCTTTGAAGCCCACATTTCACTTCCCAGTATAGCACTGTGTGTGCATATTCATGAGTCGAAGTCTCAGTGACCCCTCAGCTCCACACCGCACAACAGAAATTTCGACTACTGTGTGAAATCCTAACCCCAAGAAAGTCAATGGCAAGATCCTTGCTCACTTGTTTGGGAACAGGAATTCACCCATGATATCTTGTTAGTTCTGGCAGGTTTTCAGGATTCAGCATGCTTTTTTTGAGATGAATCAGTAAGCACTGTGCTGCTTTCTTACACCGTCCTCTGCTTGAAACAGAAATAGTGTTGTACTGCACAGATTCTATTACCCTTGGCAGCTAATTTTCTCCATCCCTTAAATGCAACCCTCCATCCCTTACATTTTTCCTCCAATACATTTTTATAGAAAAACATAAAAATTGTTGTTAAAAAATCAGTGCTCTGCTATCATTTATGGTTTATGTTCAAGAACTGTGGACATCTTCCCACAGTTGGCCCAAAATTTTTTCACTGTTTCTGGACAGATGCCTTCTGAGGCTTCAGAAAGCTCACATAAAGCCTCTAACTTCCATATAATTTCCTAAACTAGTAGTCTTTGTCCACTGATTATTTTTATTTCTGTAAGATGTTGTTTCTCCTGCCAGAGCTTCTAGACAACAGCAAATGTCATTAAAAATTGAAGTGGACAAAGAACTTCAGACTACACTGTCAAGTAACAAACCTCTCCTAGCAGAAGGGAGGAGTTAGTGACCTAATAGGCTTTTCCCTATTTTAAACCCTTCAGACACATGATACCTCAGTTCCCTGACTGGTCCTTGACAACTCTGTGACAGAAAAGGAAAAATAATAAATCTTCAGTGATCAATGGTATAACAAAGTCCTGCTTATTATATGTTAATAATTCCTTTCAGACTATGCTTACTTTAACTTGGAGTGAGAGGTAATGTGGCAAAGTGCTCTAAATGAAAAATCTTCATCTTCAGTGTTGGTTATTATAGTAAGTAATATTTTTTCCTGATATGGCTTGAATATTCAGATGAACTGAAGAGGCACATTTTTGCCTTTTGAGGAGGGTCAGGATCTTTCAAAACTCCAAAGCAATGCAAAGGAGACACCAGGTTCCTTCCTGCAGGGAACCAAGGAGCTCCATGGAGCTGGGCAATATTAAGGCAATGGCAATGAAAGGCATTTGAGAAAAAATAAATATCATTCTAGAAAATCTGAGAAATTATTCATATTAATGATAAAAAAATTACTCCCTCTAAAAGTTCAAATGATCAGGTCTGAATTTTTCTTGGAAAAGGTCAGTATTTCTTCAAATTCACTGAGACTTGACATTAATAACTCTAGTGATCCATTTCCAGGCAAAATCCAGAAGTTCCAACATAGTAGTCATATTTGCTCATGTGTATTTTCATTTGAGGTCTGAAATAAAAAGTTCTACCAAAACAGCAATCAGTGAAGTCCCCAAAAGCTGAGCAAACCATGAAGAGAGGAGTGGATTACATGTACTCTTAGGAGACATTAGGCCCCTGCTGCTCTCTCCTGCTCTGTAGCTCTAAGAAGTTGTGCTGCTTAGGTACTATGCTCTCTGCCAGCTCTTGCTCTCTCTCCGTCACTTACAAAATTACTTTCTTTCATGATACGGAAATCATTATTAGACTACTCCAGATAAGGAAATTACCGTACCTAGACATCATCTGATGAGGGTGCCACATTCACAAGGGCCAATCCAACACTCCTTTTAGGACATAATTAGTATCTGAGCATACAGTCAGGATTTGGCTCTGGATTGCAGCTAGAGAACTGAGCAGTGAGAGCTTAATGAATGCAGGCA